ATCATGGAAGCGCACATTTAAAGTGAGCGGGCGACGTGCTTAAAGCGGGACAGCAGTGCCAAGCCACGCGAAATCTCATCTAAACGAGGACGCACATATCGAAGCAGCCCGCGACGAAGCTAAACCACACAAAACTCATCTAACGCAGCCGCCTCCTCGAACCATTTGTTGAGCAAAGAAGAAGCGTCATGTCTAAGCCATGCAAGACATATCTAAACCAGACCAACGTCACATCGCATATCGGAACACATGTTTAAACCGCACGAATCCAACTGTCAGCCAGGAAGTACCTATATTTGAACCGCCCAGCCTTTTGCATAAACAACAAAAATCATCTAAAGCAGGCAGCAACATATCTAGAGCAACAACACTTCTGCAAACCGCACAGGCACATGTCTAAACCAGACCAATCATTAGTTTGAAATTGTGGGCGGCATGTCTGGGCGGCCCTCGGCGGCCGCGCTGTAATTTTATTCCGCTACGCCCATCTAGTATGCCGCGACAAGAAAAATGAAGCCCCAGTCTCGGCATTGGCAATATTTCGCATTTGCGACCACTGGTTCAGCAGCGCCGCGCATTGCCCAGAGTCCCTGCCAATGTTTCGGCGGTTCAGCAGGCGCGCGGCGTCTGACCCTGGCGCGGCCAGATGCCCAGTCGCCCGCGAGCGGACCGAGGGGAGTTGGTCGCCCGACATCCGCGCGCACATCGGGGTCGCGGGGGCGCATGCTTCAAGGTGTTTCTGAGGATCTTGCGCCTGCTAGCATTTGATTCGCGGGCGTCGGCCATCGCCCCTGCCTGCGCGGGCTCAAAGGGATCTCAGACATCGGGTGAACTCGGCGCACGCGGCCGTGAACCGCGAACTTCACTACCTTCGGACACCAGGGCAGGCCGCGCCCCATTGCGGCTCAACCCCATACTTGACAGCATGAGTTGGAGGGTGAAGGTGGGGGTCGGGCGCAGGGTCCCGGCAATGATGTTTTTGAAAGTCATGAATGGGCGATACATCCTCGATTGCTGTGTTCGGCGGGGGAACTAATTGAAGCCCCCCGCCCGCGCCCGCGCGCGAGACTTGAGGGGAAAGGAAGCAATGGGGCGGGGGGCTCGGGAAAGGCGACGAAGGCAACGTGCGCCAAGGGCGCAACAAGAACAGGCTGGAACACACGAAAGCGGTCGGGTGAGTGTCGAAATCTGCCCAGCCAATCTGGCATGCGGAACCATGCGCCTCAGTTTTGGGGATCTTGAAGGCCAGGGCAAAATGTGAATTCACATTGTGGGGAAAAGCAAAATGTGAATTCAAATTTTGGGAAAAAGGAAAATGTGAATTCACATTTTGGGAAAAAGGAAAATGTGAATTCACATTTTGGAATTTTGTGTAGGATTCTTTATGAAGGGGCCAGAATGTGAATTCACATTTTGGGAAAAAGGAAAATGTGAATTCACATTTTGGGAAAAAGGAAAATGTGAATTCACATTTTTGGAGCATCGCGGGGCCCATTCCAAATCTGTCTTGGGGGTCGAGAAGTCATCGTTTGGGAACATACGCGATCATCAACCGCACAATCAAGACACACTTGCACTCCACTTCGCCGACCCACGCGCAATATGCAAGAACGTCCGCACGCATGAACGATAATGGATGGACGGCACGTGCGCCCGCGCGGGCAACGCGCGGGCACGAATGACTGGCCACCAATGACCGCCAGCATTGGATGCCAATCGTACCCGATCACATACATGAGCGATACATTGGGCATACATGGGCCATTCAGCCCCCAAGTGAGCCCCAGAGGGAGTCTTGATCGTGCTCCTGCCCCCCCTCCTGTTCCTACCCCTCCCCGTGCTCTTTTTCCTCTTGTTCCAGCCCCCGTTTTCTTGCTCCTGCCCCAGCCTCCTGCTCCTGCCTGCCCCTTCCCCGCTTCTCCCCCGCCCCCCAAACCGCCCCCCTCCTGCTCCTGCCGCGTCGACCCCCTGGCCCCTCCGCCCCCGCCCCCCCCCGCCCGTCCCCCAACCTCGCTCTGACACCCTTTCTCCTCGAGGGGGGGGCCCGGCGTTCCTCTCGCTCCTCCCCCGTCCTTTTCGGCGTGGACAGATGCCGTTGGCGGCGCTCTCGGCGTGGCGATTCTCGGCCGAGCTTTGCGTCGCGGCCCCTCGCGCCGGCGGCCTGGGCGGCGCGGCGCGAGGGGGCGCCTCCGCCGCGGGGCCGGCCGTCTCCCGCGCCGGCAAGTCCCGAGGAGGCAAGGCGGAGGGCGCTTAGGTCGGGCTTCCAGCGCTCGCGGCGGCGGGCACGGCGCGGCCAGAGAGCGCGGCGCCGGCCGCGGCGCCGGGCCCGACGCCCGCGCGGCCGCGCCGCCCCGCCTCACCAGAGAGGCGCTTCGTCAGAACGAGGCCCGCTCCGACGGCGCCTGCTCGAGGAGGGTTTGCGGCGAGGCGCCGCTTTACAAGGCTCCACCTTCGAATCTGCCAGCGATCGCCTGGTCGTGCACTTCTGAAACCATTGAGGCTGCAGCATATGTGGCGCGCGTCGAAAAACGCGAAGGCGCCGCAAAACGGCGCCAGCTCGAACCCCCGGTAGCCTTCGCTCGCCCCAGAGCCCGCACTCGGAAGGCCCCGAGACTTCCACGCCGCGGCGGCTTCTGCCAGCGAACCTCGTTGGTTTTTCAGCGAGGCGCGCGCGAGGAGGCGTCGGCGCCCGCCGCGCCCCGCGCCGTCAAAGCGGGCGCTCTCGTGCTCCGCGATGCCCTCGCGCATCGGGCATGCAGTCGCGAGAGCCGCGACTTGGCGTGGAACTTCAGCCAGATGCCAGAGGTCAGGCAGGAGGGGCGGTGGAGGGCGCCACTGCGGCCCGGAGGAGCCCCGACGACCCGTCGCGGAAAGGCGCAACATCCGCGACGCACTCTTGGCCCCCCATGGAGCCCCCCCGGGGCTCTCCGAGATCGCGCTGGGAGGCCTTGGGCGGCCTTGGCGGGGCGTGGGAGGACCCCGAGAACCCCCGAGGACGACCGCAAGACGTGCCCCAGGATGGCCCCGGGAGGCCCAAGATGACCCGCGACGGCGCCTTCCGCCAGCGCCTTCCGCCGGCGCGGAAGGCGCCCCTGTCGAGCAAAGGCGCGCGGTGCCAGACGGGCCCGCGAGGCAGTTCAGCGCGTTGTCGGCGCTTCCTGGGGCGAGACAATATTGCAGATCACGCGTGGCAGCTCGCACTTCTGCGCGTGCCAGTTTTGGCCGCGGGGCGGGGGCTGGCGCGAGCCATTCTGCGCGCGCAACAGTAGCCAGCGCGGGCGGTTCGTGCTCCCACGTCCACGACGCGCCCGCCAGTCCGTCTCGCGGGCGCGCGCCCGCGCGCGAATGGCGGGGTTTCTCGGGGCCCTCTCAAGCTCCCCCGGGGCACTCCAGGGGCTTCCAACGCGGTCTCGGAGAGGCCCGAGAGGGCTCCAAGAGGGTCGAAGAATACGTCGTTGGGTCATATTTGGGCCATCTGGTGGCTCTCTTTGGGACTTGTCGGGCCACTCTGAAGCCTTCCCAGGGCCTTTCAGGGCCTTCGAGCCTTCCAGCGCGGTCTCGGATAGCTTCAAGAGGGCCCCAGGAGGGGCCGCCAACCTGTCGCGCAGACGGGCTATTTCCGCGACAACTCGTCGATCCCGCCCAGGACCCATCCCGGGGCCCCAGAGCCCCTTTAAAGGGGCCCCACGATGCCGCCAAGACAGCTCAATGAGGACCCCGGGGCCCAAAGAAACGGCTCCAAGAGGCATGGAAAGTGTCATGATAAAGTGGCGGCGTGGAGCCATTTCGGAGACCGCCGGGGGCATTCTCGGGGCACTCCAGGGTCCCCTGGCAGGATTGATGAGGATGTGGAGCTGCGTCGACAGGGCGGCAGGTGCGATTGGGAAAACATGCGCAAGCTATGCAAGCTCGCGGGTGCGGTGCGTTCCCCCTGCGTTCCCCGCGCCGCTGTTCATCCTCATTCGTCTGCCTGCCTCACAATATTTGGTGCCCGTGTCCTCGTCGGCCTCCTATTGCTTCCTCTTCCCCTGTTCTTGTATTCCTCCTCGTCTGTCCCCCTCCGCCCTCTCCTTGTCCTCCTCTTGCCCCACCTCCCCTCTTCGTCCTTCTATTCAATTACAGGGTGAAGAGTCTCCGTGGCGCGACCTATTCAAATGTATTTGGGATCGTGTGGTTTCGAAAGCGGGAGGACTGTGTAACTCTATTGTACGGAAGGTCATTGCACGTAACAGTTGGCCACGCACACATCTGGTCCTACATGAGCGTTGTGTTAAAAAAATGAGATTGGCGGCTTCTGGGTATCCCCGGCCCCACTTGGCCACGGTCTCCCATTCTCACACCACCACCCCAGTTGGGGGTTGGGCCCATCGAGTACCGAAGGGAGCAGCGGCTTGCAGGGAGTGCCCCACGCTGCCCTCCAGGACCTCGTGGGCGGCCACGGGCCGCACGCCGCCGCCGCGCTGCCGCGGGACTGCCCCGCGAGGCCCGCCGCCGCGGCGCCGTCGCCGCCCGCCGGGGGCCGCGACGCCGCCTGTGAGGCCGCGGCCGGCGCGCAGCCGGCCAGCGCGGCCGCTGCCGCAGCGGCGGGCTGCGTGCTGCGCGCCGCGGGGGCGGAGGTCAGGAGGGCACAAGACACACAGACACAGTGACTCCAGATGTCGTAATAAGAGGGAGGGGGTCTCAACCCTCCCGGACGAGAAGTTTTAGAACCCCCCCCCCGTGGGAGAACCCTCCAAAACATCGTCCCCAGACCCCCCCAGGCCCTCCGAGATAGCCTGGAAGAGACCCCCCCCGAAATGAGACCCCCCTCTCTTTCTTACGAAATCTGGAGTAATCGTCGAGTCCCCAGAGAACATAGGAAAATATGGGAAGTGGGGGGGAAGACAAAACCCCAGGAAATATGGGAAAGTATGGGGAACAGTTTTATTTGTGTATTTGGTTGTGTGTCCCATGGCCCCTTCAGGAGGGCGCGGCGGGCGCGGTGCCGCCGCAGCCGCCGGCAGCTGCGCCGGCGGCCCCGCCGGCCGCTGTTCCGGCCGAGCTCGGCGAGCCTGCGGGGGCCGCCGCCGGGGGCGGCGGCGGGGCGCCCCGGCCGGGGCTGCCCGGCACCGTGCTGGACGCGGGTCCTCGAGCGTTGCTGAATGGGGGGGGGGCGATGAGGCCAATGCCTCCAACGCACTGGAAGAAAAGGTCATGCGCAGCTTTGTTGCTGTGTTCGGCCCTTGGGGGCCTCTGCGGGGCGTCGGGGCCGCAAAACGGTTCGGGATGCAATTCCAGTGCTGTGGACGGGGTCGGGGCTTCCGGGGCCGCGTCTCGACAAAACATACAGCGGATGTCTCGGGAACGGGGGGGGGGGGGGCTCAGAAAACCGCGCACCCTCTGTGCCCGCTTGGGGTTAGCACGGGCCCTTTCTCTCTAGGGCACAAAACTCAACGGGCGAAAAACGGTATAAAATAATATTTTCGCCGTCGGGGGCGCCTGTCCCAGGGCGGCTGGACAGTTTATACCCTTACGGTGGCACCGTATACGGGCAGAAACTTTCCAGCCGCCCAGGGACAGGCGCCCCCGACAGCGGAAATGTTTATGTTGTACCGTTCTTCGCTCGCTGAACAACGTGCAGGACCCCCGTTTCCTTTCCCAACGTCCGAGGTCCACCACCCTCGGCGGCGACGCCTCGCGCGTCGGCGCCGCCGGTGGATCTGCCACAGCCCGGCTCCTCGAGGCCGTCGGTCTCGAGCGCGGAGGCCAGCGCGCTGATGCGGGAGGACACCTCGTTCAGCTACTCCTTCGCGGGGAGGAGGCGGGGAGCCCGCGAGTGCCTGGCGGCGAGGTGGGAGTGGGAGCACCGCTCCGGCTTTCGGGCCTACGAGGAGGACATGCAGTACCACATCGAGCACGCGTTCCAGAGCGGTGAGAACAAGGCTTCTTGGGAGTGGGAGGGTGCTATAAGCAGGCGCAGGCGAGAGTAGAGGGGGCTGCAAGGGCGGCGCGTCTGGGATGAGCGACCAGAGTCACGACATGCGATGGCGAGAGCCTGGTGGTAGCTGGGCTGGAAGGGGGACAGGCTTGGTGATACCAGCTCACGTACACTCGGGCGCTGGCACTGGCCACGCCCCCTGGTCGGAGAGAAGGAGGAGTCGATGGTGGAGGAGGAGGAGGAGGAGGAGGAGGACGAGAAGGATGGATGGCATCTACTCATGTACGGATCCAATGCCACTAGTTCGAAGCTCGAAGGACGAAACAGTGGCGAAGCGTCTCAGCTCGCCTACAGGCCTACCAAGTAATGTTATAATAACCTTGTGTGCTCTGCACGACACGTTGTTATATCATTTCTGGCCGAGACTGTCTTGTCTTAACACGTCGGGATTATGGTATGATGGCATTGTTTTTGTTCTTATTACATCAATGGGTTCTAAGGAATGATACCGGATAAAAACCCAATCAGGGCTATAGGGTTAGGGGGCTATAGGGCTATAGCGCTATTGAGCTATAGTGCTATAGAGCTATAAGGCTATAGAGTTGTAGGCTATTGGGCTATTGGGCTATAGGGCACCCCCGGGCAGCCCCGGGCACCCCCGGGCACGCCCGGGCACCCAGGCTTCCAGGCACCCGGGCACCCCCGGGCACCCGGGCACCCAGGCGTGCAGCGAAAATCGGTGGCAAACCTAACCTAACCATATGAATCCGCTAGAAGGAGGAGGAGGAGGAGGATCAGGAAGAGGAATAGGTGGAGGTGGAGTTAGAGGGGCACGAGAATGGGCATGAGGAGGTCAGTTGCTTGGGCAGGTTTTTCGAACAGTGTCAGTTTGGCTTCAGAGATTCTCCTAACAGCGGCTTTGGAGTGGCCTTAAATCCAACGTCGTTTCGGAGTCGCTCCTGGAGGGCTCAAAATGGCCAAACATGTCCCGAAAGGCCCCCCAGAGAACCCAAAGAGCGCCCGGGCTGACCCCAGTGGGGCCCGAAGGGGCCCCAGAAAGCGCCCGCCAAAGGAGGTCCCAAGACGGCCGAATGATGCGCCAAGTTGGCCCAAGAGAGCGTCCAAAGCTCCCCAAGACACGCCCAGACGGTCCCAAAAGGCCTGGACGCCACCAAAGGACTACGACAGGCTCCTGAGAAGTGCCAAAGGGGCTTGTAATTCCACGCCGTGCTCCTCCTCGTCACCCGCCTCCTTGTCGTCCTCTTCTCCCTTCTTGTCTTCCTCATTTTACGTGCGGAGTCATAAAAAAAAGCGTTTCCTGATCTTGTCCAGTCAGGTTTCTGAGGTTTCTGGGGCCCCCCTTGGGGCCTCCCCTGGGCCACGGTGGGGCATGTTTTGGCATTTTCGGGCGCTCCATTTTGGAGGCTTTTCTTCAAAGAAAAAACAGCTGCATCCGCATACACCTTCGACGGCCTCTCGTGGAACTCGGGGCTGAGGACTTGAAATGTCCGTTCGAGTCCCCCGTCTGGGCACTCTCTTGGAACCGTCTTGGGGGCCTCTTGTGCCGTCTTGGAGGCGTCTTGGACCGTCTTGGGGCACTCTTCGGCCGTTTTGGGACTCTCTTGGAGGCCTCTTGGGCCGTCTCGGGGCGACCTTGGGGGCCTCTTGGGCCGTCTTGGCGCGTGGGAAAACTTATGGGATATCCATGATTTGTGCCTCTTGGGGCTCTCGTGGGAACGGTCCTGGAGGCCTCTTGGGGCGTCTCGCAGGCCTCTTGGGCCGTCTGGAGGCCGTCAAGGCGTCTTGGACGGATCATTCGGCGATTCGGGGCCCTCTTGGATCGTGTTGGGGGCCTCTTGGGGCACTTTTGGCCCGTCTTGGGGCTTTTTGGGGCTCCGGGCTTCCCCGGGGGGGCGGGGTAAAAACCCGGGACCCCCCCCGGGACCCCCCCCGGGACCACCCCACCCCCCCGGCGGGGAAGGGATCAAAGGGAAGGGGATTCCCTTCGACTCAATTGCGACGTTGCTCAATTTCGCTTTGGACTGGCACGCTTCAGGAGGAGGCCCTGGGAGAGGGGTAGAAGCAACGACGCTGTGAGGAAAGGGAAAGGAACGACGACGACGACGACGAGGAGGGAACAGACGGAGAACGGAGAAGCCTCTTCCACACGCCGACAGGGTCGGCGGATTCCCCCTCCTGGGCCCCGAACTGTATCATCCCCAGGGGCCATATCTGCAGGTGGGTGCCAGGCCTCTCGAGGCCTCCCGGGGGCCGCAGCAGCACCACGTGTCTGCTCCTGCCGTGCGCGCTTCGCCGAAGGCACGGACCATCGGCGCCCTTGGATATACGTATTGCTCTCCTCCTCCTCCTCTTCCTCCTCCTCCTCCTCCTCCTCCTCCTCCTCCCCCTCCTCCTCCTCCTCCTCCTCCTCCTTCCTCCTCCCCCTCCTCCTCCTCCTCCTCCTCCTCCTCCTCCTCCTCCTCCTCCTCCTCCTCCCTCCTCCTCCTCCTCCTCCTCCTCCTCCTCCTCCTCCTCCTCCTCCTCCTCCTCCTCCTCCTCCTCCTCCTCCTCCCCCCCCCCCATAGGCCCGCCCACACCCGCGAGGCGCGAATATTGGGGCCACGCCTCGCCCCGCCGCGGCCCCGAGCCACGGAGGCGCCCGTCGCCACCAAGGGCCGCCCGAGGGCGCGCGGGCAGCCCGCCGCGCCTCGCGCGGCGCGGGGCGCGGCGACGACGACGACGACGACGACGACGACGACGACGACGACGACGACGACGCCCCCGCCGCCGCGCCCGATGCGCGGCCGCCGTACGGGCGAGGACGCCGTCGGCATGGCTCCGTTGGCCCTCGGCATCCGCCCGCGGCGCGGGGCGCGACGTTGGGTTACTCCAAAAATCCCGTATCCATCGACTCCGCCCTACAAAACCGGACCCCCCTCCAAATGCGGCCTAATATTCTGGACCCCCCTCTTCGGCGGGGCGCCTTGGTAAACCAGACCTTCTAGGCTCCAATCCAAAGAAAGTGCTCTAATAACCTGGACCCCCCCAGTCACAAAAAAGGCGCCTCAAAAAATTTTGACCCGGGGGACGATTAATAAAGGATTTGGGTTACTCCCCCGGCCTCCGAGTGATGCAAACATCGAGCGCACACACATAGCGAACATCACAGGTGCCCAGTTCGTACATCGACTTCCTCCTCCTCCTTCTCCTCCTTCCCCTCCTCCTCCTCCTCCTCCTCCTCCTCCTACTCCTCCTCCTCCTCCTCCTCCTCCTACTACTCGTCTCGTTTCTGCTGGACGCTCGCCCCTTCATGGGTACTCCTGGATCCTCCTCCTCCTCCTCCTCCTCCTCCTCCTCCTCCTCCTCCTCCTCCTCCTCCTCCTCCTCCTCCTCCTCCCCCACCTCCCCCTCCTCCTCCGCCTTCTCCTCCTCCTCCTCCTCTTGCAGGTGCTCTCCCTCTCCTGGGATGCTGCTGCACAGCATGCCACTGGTCGGCGCTCTGCCCCGCTGGCCACCGAGAGCGCACGCCTCCCGCGCGCTCCCCGTGCGCCGCCGGGGGGGGGCGGCTGGAGAGGTGCGCCTGAAGGCCAGCCGGAAGGCCGGCTCGCAGCCCCTGGAGATCTTCTTCGCGGACATGCTGCAGATCGACCACATCTCAGGCGCTGCCCCAGAGAGCCAACGCGTTGAGAAAATCAAGACGGGCTTTTTTCGCTAGTTTCGGCCCCTGGGGGACCTCGCCGGGCCTCGGGACCGTCAAACAACGACTCAGGATGAGAAGCCGGTCCCGGGGAATGGGGCCAGACTGCTGGGGACCCCGTATTGAACAAATCACGACATCGGGTCTTTGCAATTAAGTCGGGCCTGTCCCTCAACAGGGGGAATATCCAAACGTAGTCAGAAAATCGTATGGGGACTATTTATTGGCTACGGTTTGGACTATTTGGGAGTGTGTTTTGAATATGTTCAACTTTTTCGCCCAAGATTCCCCTGTAGGGGGACATGCCCGACCTACCGTTGGAGTGGGGGCCCATGCCGAGAAACACCCTGCTTGCCTCCAGGGTGCCCTGGGTTTCCTGGGTCTCGGCGGCTCTGCCGTGGAGAGAGCGCGGCGTGCCCGTGCCGAGACTCGGTGGGCGCCCGGGGGTCTCGGGGTTGGGCTTCTTGTGGTGGGTTTCTTCTGGACGGGCCCCCACCTTGATGGGCCCCGGAAACGGCAGGGCCGCTGTTTCACCGTTTCCAAAAAAATGTCCCTTGCAAATGGAAACGGCGAACAAAACGGCGACCGGACACGGCAGACAAACGGCTCCAGGATTGGAACCGGAGCCAGAACCGGTCCAAAAACGGCGACGGAACCGGCAACAAAACGGCGTCGGAACCGGCAAAAAAAAGCGGCCAAGCGGGACCGGTAAAAAAACGGCCCTGTCGTTTCCAGGGCCCGCTAAGGCCCCCACTATACGGCCAGGAGATCTGACGGAGCGTGTCACTCCGCCGGTCCTGGCCCACCACGCTGCGCTCGGGCGCGGCGCGCCACACCCGCTTCTTGGTGCTCCGACGTCAGCGTCCCGAGCTCTGCCAGGCCTACCGCCCCGCGGATGTGGAGCGCCACGCTATTCGCGCGCATGGCACAGCGTGTCGTGGGGCCGCCGCCGCGACATGCTAAGCAAGAGTTCCTGACCGTACAGTCGGGGCTCCGAATAAGGAACCCCTTTTCGTTGGGGAGAGGCTCTGTGGTCCCTCATTGTTTCACATGTTGCCCCAGTTTATCCTTGGATTTCCGATGGGAAGTCGAAGTTGAGCTTCTGGAGAAAAGGGGCCTCGTTCCTTATTTAGGGTTCCTTAGGTCAACGCCCCGACGGTATCCTTCCCCGTCTCTTTCCCCTGTCCCCAACCTCTCCGCAACCTTTGGGGGACTCGGGGCCTTGGTGATCTTGGCTTCTCTGGTCGCGCAGTTGCCCTGAGCGCGGCGGCAGCAGCCGTGCGGATGCGCAGAAGACCGTGCATTCAGTGCCCGAGTGACGGGGGCGCTGTGTCCAGCATGGCCGCGAGGTGCAGGAGCGTTTCACACTGGTAGTTGCCTGCATCCAACATTTCCCTAGCTTTTAGCGGAAGAGGTTCGCTCTCGCCCCACAGATCAAAAAATCGCCTGCATCCGACACGGATAGTGACTCGATGGGACAGACACGATAACTCGAGGATGCACCAACACGTCGTTGGGAACACAGCAGTGCGGACATTAGCGAAGGTGAGTGTGAAAGACATTGCTGCGGATTGTCGGGACACGTGGGCACGCGCAGAGAGAGTGATATATAGAGAGAGAGAGAGAAAAAACAAAAAAGAACGAAAGAAAGAAAGAACGAAAGAGGCATCATGATCGACCCTCTTCGGCTGTCGGTCAAGGTTTTTGCTCGAGACAGTTCTGACAGCGCCCGAGAGGTACAATCATGATGCTATTGTACGGAGCACAGTTTCTCCAACCGCGTGGTTTGCAAACTTAGGATGACGGCCAAGATGTCGCGACGTCTGTTTGCGCGTTGTGCGGATTCATGCTCCTTGATTGAGGTTGCAGTACTGGGATTATAGTTGTCGAGGCGCCAGCATGGTGCATTGGCGAACAAAATTGCGTTGATATCTGCAAGCTTCTGATCAACATGTACACCCTGCCAGTGCAGAAGGGAGGGAGCGAGGGAGTGTGGAGGAGCTGGCGGAGGGCCAGAGGGAGCGACAGGGAGATGCTTACGCACCAATTGTTGAGAGCAGCTTGTGGACGCATTCCGCCCACTGCCAGCTACTGTCAAGTGTGTGGCCAGGGCTATCCCGAGCCAGTAGATGGATTTCGGTCAGACCTCCAGCGATCTCGGGCTTCCTGGCAGACCTCGCCCCACTGGCTGCCGGGGCTCGCCTCTTTTTTGTTGTTCTCTCTCCCTCTCTCTCTGTACATCTCGCAAGAAGTGGCGAAGCATCCTGGCTCGCTCATAGGCCTACCAGAGCATGCTCCAAGAGCCTCTCGTGCTCTGCACGAGGTGTTCTCAGAGCAGTTCTGGCCGCGACAGCCGTGCTTTGACGCATCGGCGCGCCCCCCGCCCCCGCCGGCCGCCGGCTCGTGCCGCCTCACGGCGGCGACGCGGAGCCGAGGGGGAGGAGGGGGGCAGGAGGTCTCGGCCTTCTTCAGACCCCCCCCCTCAGCGCGCGCGCAGGGGGGGAAGAGAGGAGGAAGGAGGAGGAGGAGGAGGAGGCAGGAGGAGGAGGCAGGAGGAGGAGCAGGAGGAGGAGCAGGAGGAGGAGCAGGAGGAGGAGGAGGATGAAGAAGAAGAGGAGGGGGAGGAAGACGAGGCGCCGCGACGCCCGGGCGAGCCGCTCGGGCAGCGAGGGAGCGCCCCCCCCCCGTGGACCCCTGGGCCAGACGGCCGAGGGAGCCTGTCAGGAGGGGGAAAACACACAGACACAATGAATCGTCGATTCCCCCGAGATGATAGGAAAATGTAGGAAGTGGGAGGGAAGACAGAAACCCAGAAAATATGGGATAACATAGGGGAATCCTTTTGTTTGTGTGTATTTGTTTGTGTGTCCCAGGGTCCCTTCAGCTTGGTGCACGGCTGCGCTCTCGGCAGTGTTGGCGCGCGCGTGGTGCCGGTGCGGTGCCGCGGTCGGTCTCTCACAGGCCGACGCGTGCTCCGCCGGGTGCACCCGCTTGTCATCGGGATGCGGTGCTTCGGAGGCGGAAGAGGTACCCATACCTCTATCCTTCGGCCCTTTTTTCCCTTTTCGGGCCTCCTCGTAGGAGCTCGTCGCCACCGCTGGATTCGCCTCGAAATTCTGGTCAGAACGCACCTCACGAGAGGTTCGGGGAGCAGCGGTATCGGTACCTTTTGGTTTCCCCAGTGCCGTGCGCTCTTGGACTTGTCCTGGCGGCTGTCCCTTCAGGTCGTTCTGCCCAAGGGGACTGTCAGTCTTCGAGGCACCTTCCTGGAGAACCTCTTTCAGCCCCCAGGGGTCATAGAAGCCAACCCACGTCCAGACGATCATTGAGGTCGAGATCTGCTGGGGATCTCCGAGATCGGAACCTGCCCAAGATGGAAAGATACGCGCGGGGTCAGATATCAAGGCGCACGTGTGCACGGCAGCAACCCGCAGTACCCTCCCCTCGTTCTGCATTCACCCACGCACATGTGTGATGAGTCGGTGGCGCGAGGCTTTCAGCATATCACTCCATCCACTCGCCAACCGCCGCAAGGCAACACGAGGCGCGTGCAGCGTGTTGGCGCAGACGGCTGGTGGAGCCGTGTGAGCAGGTCAACGAGGACATGTTGCGCCCGCGCTCTCGGATCGTGTGTCTGCCGCGTTGGCTCCCTTGGGCAGGAGGATTCGCGGATGTGTTGCAGCGTGCGAGTGAGGAACGTGGACGTGGTGGCAATTGTGTTGGCTAGTCCGAGTCATGCTGTGGCTGAGACAGGGAAGGTTTGGCGGTTGACCAAATGTTGAGCCCGTCGGCAGCAACGTCTGGGCTCCCCCGGAGAGCCCGAGCGCCTACACACAGCCGAACGCCACGAGGACCGAGGAACGCCATGAGTGCCGAGAGAGTCCTCGCCTGGAACTCGCACGGGAGCCGCTGGGCCATGCGGGCTCCGGAGACCCTGAACCCAAGCGGCTGCCATCTCTTGGGGGTGCATCTTTCAGTATCGTTAACCGACCCCGATCCTCATCCCCATCCCTTTCGAGACCCCCACCAAATTACCCCCCCAATTGGGGATACACCCCGCGAAACCCGAAAGGAGCGGCCTATATCCCCATCTAGGGGGTGAAGCGGCCAGTGGGGCCCAGGCCACGCCGCTGGTCAAAGGGATCGGATACACGATGCGCAATCTTGCACTTCCGCCAGCCTTCTGCCGCCTTCCGCCGAGGAGGAGAGATGGCAACTCCCTCGATCCTCGCATGCGGGGCGGGAACTTGTGCATGACCACCGCTGGCGGATCCATGTTCGGGGACCTCGGCAGGCGGTGGGTATGGATATATATATATATATATATATATATATATATGTATATATATATAAGTATGTATGTATGTATGTATGTATGTATGCATGCATGCATGCATGTATGTATGTATGTATGTATGTATGTATGTATGTATGTGTATATATATATATATATGGCCCCCCGGGGGCCAAAAGATACATCCATGTCCACCGCCCGCTGGGGCACCAGGACGTCGGTTCCCAGGCGGTGGAAGTGGATGAATCCCCGCCTCGCATCGCCAGCGAGGCCGCTCTAGGAGCGCCTCAGCGCCTGTCGACGGGCTGTGGACGGGCGGCCGGGCAAGCACCGCCCCCTCCCCGCCTACCCTGGAGCGATGCAGTTTCTCACCTCCTCCTCCTCCTTTCCTCACCTCCTCCTCCTCCTCCTCCTCCTCCTCCTCCTCCTTCTCCTCCCCCTCTCCTCCTCCTCCTCCTCCTCCTCCTCCTCCTCCTTCTCCTTCCTTCTCCCGTCCCCTCCTCCTCCTCCTCCTGCTCCTCCTCCTCCCTCCTCCTCCTCCTCCTCCTCCTCCTCCTCCTCCTCCTCCTCCTCCCCGTCCTCCTCCTCTTCCTCCTCCTCCTGACGGGGCTGCCTTGACTCTGGCATGGCACTCCTGCGGTTTCGCTGCCACGAGGGGGCCAATGAACGGGGGATCCTCCCGTGGCTATCAACCCCCGGCAGCGGGCTGCGACTCGGGGATGTCCCCAGACGAGGTGCGCCCCCCCTCTCACCGCGCCCGCGTCAGACCCCGCAGGACCGCTCCCTGGCGGCCCGCTCCTAGACCTGGCAGACTGGCCAGTGCTCCTCTCGTCGCCAGCCTCCTCCCCGGTGAAGACGGGGCACGTCTGGGGGTGGGGAGGTGTCGGCCGACTGGCCGCCGGCGCGCCGTCCCAGAGGGAGGCCTCCATCCAGGCAGCGGCCGGAGGGCCCCTCCCCGGGAGCAGTCCACGAGCGACCTCGTGGGAGCCCCGATCCCGGGCGCATGCCCAGGGGGAGGTTGCTTGTCCTCTGGCGCGAAGCGGTCGTTGCCCGGCCGCCCCCCCCCCCCCACAGGCAACGGTAATGATCGCACGAAGGGCTTGGCATCGCTCAGACGTGTGCGCTGTTTCTCGGCGAGGGCCATCTAGAAACAGCCTGGATCATCGAGCAGAGACAGCACGCGCGAGACCGAACCAAAGTGCACGGGGAGTGGATGTCCGAGCGACGACAAGAGGGTGGGGGGGGGGACATGACCCCGCCTGCACACGTGCGGGTGCTCGCGCGCCGCGCAGACTGTGGCGATCGCAGCGCACACCCGACCCGGCGTGCCCAACCCAGCCTAAGCACTATACCGTTACCAACACATAGGCCGCCACGCTCCTGCGGAAGGGGGGAGGAGGCGGGGAAGGAGGAGAGGGAGGTGGAGGAGAAGGAAGAGGATGAGGGGGAGGAGGAGGAGGAGGAGGAGGAGGGAGGAGGGGAGGAGGGAGGAGGAGCAGGAGGAGGAAGAGGAGGAGGAGGAGTGGGAGGAGGAGGAGGAGGAGGAGGAGGAGGAGGAGGAGGAGGAGGTGATATGGGGTGCATGGAAGAAGAATAATCAGAATTATCCCAGAGCGATCCTACCTAGGAGTTGGAGCCCCGAGGAGAGCAATAGTAGTAGCACTTGCCTTTCCTTCGCTTTGTGTTTGCTGTTGCTTTGCTTTGCTTTGCGTTGATTGTGCTTTGCTTTGCTGTTGCTATGCTATGCTATGATATGATATGCTGTGCTGCGCTATGCTATGCTAGGGTATGCTAGGGTATGATAGGCTTCGCTGTGTTATGCTAGGGTATGCTAGGCTATGCTATGCTGCACTATGCTATGCGATGCTACGCTGCGCTATGCTATGCGATGCTATGCCATGCTATGATATACTGCGCTATGCTATGATATGATCGGCTATGCTATTATATGCTATGCTGCGCTATGCTATGCTATTACATGATATGCTATTTCATGCTGCGCTATGATATGCGTTGCTATGTTATGCTGCGCTATGCTATGCTATGCTATGATATGCTATGCTATGCCATGCTATGATATGCTGCGCGATGCTATGCTATGCTATGCGTTGTTGTGCTGTGCTATGCTGCGCTAAACTATGCTATGCTATGCTATGATATGCTGCGCTATGCTATGCTATGGTATGCTATTATATGCTATGCTATGCTGCGCTATGCCATGCTGCGTTATGCTATGCTATGCGATGGTATGATATGCCAATGCTGCGCTAAGCTGAGCTGAGCTCATCTAAGGTAAGGTAAACTAAGCTAAGCTAGACTCGGCTAAGCTAAGCTAAGCTAAGCTAGGCTAGGCTAGGCTAAGCTAAGCTAAGCTAAGCTAGGCTAAACTAAGATGATATAAGCAACGCTAAACTAAGGGGACGTAGCTGGGGGAACCGCGGGGCGGATGCCGGGGGAACCGCCGGGGGCGATTTCCACTGCCCGGCCCTTTAAGCACACAGGGTAAGAGCCTTTCTAGGCAGAGCCTAGGTAGGGAAGAAGAACACGATGTCTGCTCATGTGGGGGGGGGCTTTCACATATATATATATATATATATATATACACGCATACATATGTTTAGCACATCACATATCGTTACCCAGGGCCCCAGCCCCCACCCCCCACACCTACGAGAGTAGCGACCATTACCGGAACGATTCGAGTTATGATCTCGATTCCTCTCCGTGAGCCAACCCAGGAAATCTCCCCAAGGAAATCCCCACCCAGGAAATCCCACCCAGGAAATCCCCACCCAGGAAATCCCAACCAGGAAATCCCACCCTCCCGTGAGCCCACCCAGGAAATCCCCCCCCCATGAGTCCAGGCATCAGGGGATAGCACTTGCACGGCTGCCTGTCATCGGCTCAGGCACTTTCGGCCCACCCGGGACCTCATCGGGTCAAGTTGGAGACATCGGAGTCGCACCGTGCCGCCACTGAATCGCCTCGAGCTGGGTGTTCGCCAACTTGGATCCGTTTTGGAGCTGTCTTGGGGCCGTCGTGGAGCTTGCTCGCGTCAGCTGCTTGAGCAGATCGGCCCATCAGACGCCCACCGACGGAAAGCTCGTCGGCGGCATTGAAAGACATCGGCGCCCCCTTGCCTGCGCTTTTGGGAGTCTGCGCGCACCGTGGGGGGACACGGAGTTCGTGGGAACATGTGCAGAGGATTGCGACTCGTGTGGGCTGCGCTCTTCGGCACCTTTTGGATGCAGGGCCTGGCGCTCCTCGGAGACCCCCCGCGCCCCCCCTCCCCCTGACTCCCGAGGGCCTCCTCCCCCTCCCGCGCGCGCGAGAGGCTGCTCCTGACCGGGAGAGGGCCGCCACGGACCTGGACGGGGTGCTTCGCGACCCCTTGGAGCGTCCAAGGTTGGCCTCGGCGAGAAGGCGCAGCTCATTGCTCGTACGTGGGTTCTGGGCCCGCCTCGGCTTCCTGGGCGGGGGAGGGCCCAATATACCTGGGCGCACCCCCCCTTCTTTGATCGAGCTCCTCAACGCTGGCCCCAGGATGGCCCCGAGCGTTGTGGACGACGATTAGCCGAGAGGAAGCATGTTG